CTGAGATCAAAGAGAAAAAGAAAAAAAACTCTGTTTTAGGCTGTCATGAGCAGAAAGGTCCTCCTAGCCCCTTGGCATCACCACATTCCGAGATACAACTGAAATCTTGAGCTAACAGCGCAGCAAGGAGCAACCCCTTATTCCAGGAGCAGGGTGCAGCTCCTGCCCCATTCCCAGCTGAATTTTGGCAGCATCCATGGCAAACACCACCAACCCTCACACCAGGGGCCAGGACACAGTGATCACAGTGAGCCACGGCCGCTCTGAAATCAGAAATGTGATAAGCCAAATGCTGAGTGTGGTGTTATTAACAACACTTAGCCATTGATTGCGCCTCACATCTTCAAGCACTTTACCAACATTAATTAATTAAGGTGTTTTCCATTTAATGTGGGAAGGAGAGTAAAGCAGAAACACGAGGCTGAACGGACCAAACGCTTGATGCAGTGTGGTAAGTCGTCACCAGACTTCAATTTTCCACACAGATAGATATTGCTTTTAACCAAACTGCTGAAAATACAGGCGTAGCTTGGGCAAAGCCATGAAGCCAAAAGCCCAGAGGTGCAGCCAGCGTGGACAGGGGTCACAGCTAAGCATGGACCCACCACAGCAATGCTCTGCTGCATCCCCCTCTCATTACCAGCATCCCAGCCCGGACCAATGGGCACGTCTCTTGCTCACAATCAATTCAACCAACACAGATTCAAACAAGGATTCCAGCACGAGGGTGCTGACACACGGCTGCAGAGATGTTACTGAGTGCTGCCTGTAATTGCTGTGCTAAAAGCTGGGGACATGAAGTATTGATTTCCACCCTGATCTGCATCCAAGTTTAGACAGAGGCTGCAGCCAAAATACTTCTCCCAGCAAACTCACCAGTTAAAAGAGATTGTCAGGGCTGAGAGGTTGGAATGATTAACACTCATGCTGAAGACTCTAACAATGTACAAGTTCCATTCCTGCCTTCCTACACACACCCACCATCCTGCTCTCCCTCTTCACAGAATTTTTCCAGTTTTGATTAAACGTACGGAAAAGGGACCCTCAAAACATACCTTGCCACAGCAAAAATAGCACATTGTAGCAGAAAAAAGTCTCATAGTGCACAAAAGGGGCAGAGTTATTACCTCCAGCTGTCTCAAGCTGCACCATAATTACACAAATAACACATCTGACATACTCAGTATTAATTACCGACTGAGCATGGCACAGACACACACATTCACCTCCTTCCATACAGCTTGGGACTGACCTGGAGCAGCTGCCTGCAGCACTGTGATCGTGAGCTCCTTCCCACTGCACGGAAGGAGTTCTCCCCTGTAGGGTGGGGAGCCCTGGCACAGGCTACCCAGAGAAGCTGTGGCTACCCCATGACCCCTGGAAGTGTCCAAGGCCAGGTTAGATGGGGATTAAAACACCCTGGGATAGTGGAAGGTGTCCCTGCCTGTGGCAGGGGGTTGGAACTGGATGATCTTTTAAGTCCCTTCCAAGCCAAATCATTCTAGGATTCTATAAGCAAAAGGACCTGACGATTCCACCACAGGTTTTTCCTCCCAGACCCAAGCAGACTCCACCACACACCCACCTGTCACCCCAGCACCACCAGCAAACCCCAAATCTGCACTTGCAGGCTGCCACCCTATTCCCCATCCTCCTGCCTGCCTTTAATATATTTGCATAAATCAAACAGCTTGGCAGCCCTCCTACTTAGGAGACACACAACAGCAGAGCTATTCAGAGATTCTTGTTTTCACCCCATCCTTCTGAACGTCGTCTCAAAATCCTTGAGGAAAAGCATATGGCTCACTATAGATATCTTGGGCCTGTCTACACAAACACAGAGTGATGTAGGAGAGCATTTATGGCAGCATATAAACAATAGTACCAAACTTAGGGAGGAAACACAAAGCAGAGTGAATCTACTCGGAGCTTTTTGCGGAGATCAAGTACTCTCCCCCTTTTCCTTCCTGAGCGTGACAGACAAAACACTCTTTAGATACAATTTTACACTGAACTGATTGACTTCTGTTACAACACCTGCGGTACAGGGCTGGATATATCACAATTTTAATAACAGCTCATTAAATTCATGGGGAAAGACAAAGACTCATTCACAGCCACCAGGCCATGGAGTCACACCTTGCTGCGGAAGCGTCCTTCCTCCTAACTCCTAGTCATCAGCAAGCTGAGCCAAATTTCTCAGCTTAGAGAGTGGGAAGATGGACCAAACCCTCCAGCAACTTCAGCAGTCCCTGCAGGTACCATCTCACACCCAGCTGAGGGTGGGGACACCCTTCTCTCCCCCCTCAACCATCACAGGGACCCCACAACCCCAAAGCACGTGTAATCAGAGTTATAAGCAGAAACACGCAGGCTTTGGAGAATGGAGCACATTTCTTTGGCACCTTTACAGGGTACCAACTGCTTTCCAGCATGCTGATAGTAAAGGAACACAAAGAAGAGGATTTTTCATCACTCAACAGATTAGAAAACCTCTGAGGAAAACAAAAAAAGCCCTGACCTCAGAGAACACACCCCCCTGTCCCTTGCCAGGACACGCAGCAGAAACGTGTATCTCCCCAGAAGTGTCCTGGAGAGGAAACTAAACCAAACACTGAACACACACACAAAATCAGTGTGAGCACGAGCAGCTGAAGGCTTTTACCTGCTTTCCTGGCTGGAAGCCTGTGTTTCCACATGCATGCCCTGTACACCGTGTCACCATCTGCATTCCTGATGCCCCTGCTCCACAGGGGAGGATGGAGCCTGGCATCCTCCTGCCCTTTCAGCACATTTTTATAAAAGCAAGAGCCTCAGTAGCCTGGCTGTGGTGCACAGCAGAGGGTGGCTGAGATTATCCCAACAGACACCTATGCCCAGCAATCCAGAAAATCCCTGGCCACGCAGGGAACTTCGCTTCCCACATCCCCACAGCCACCAGGAAGCTCAGCTGGGTAAGTGTAATTCACATCCCACACCCCCACTACCAAAACAGTGAAATACAAGCTGGGTGGAATAAAACCACTAATTAATCCCTCTAAATCAGTTTGCCACGAACAACAACACACCGGCAATGCAATCCAATCAGTTCCAGCCGTGGCAAGGGGGTTGAAACAAGATGATCTTTATGATCCTTTACAACCCAAAGCGTTCTGTGATTCTGTAATTCCGTGATTACATCCTGCCGGCAGCAACCATGCCCCGTCAAACGCTATGCTACCTTTAAAAAGCTTCACCAAAATGTTACTGTTATTTAAAATAGCGCCGAACCACGCTACCAAGAGATACAGTAAATAAGTAATGAGTAAATAACAGCTCCTGACGTTTTTATCACACAGGTGTAAATTCAGTTATCGGGAAAGGGGAGGGCTCGCACTATTTCTGTTCTGACATCAAGGCTGCTCGGGGTAAACTGTCATGCCAGCCTGTAATTATTTGGGAAATACAAACCTTAAAATACAAAACCATTCAAATAAAAACGTATCAGTGATGGCAACACACTTTGATTAGCAGGAAACAATTTCAGCCAGGCGGGAGCACTAGGAGTACTACAGGAGCGATCCGGGCTCAGTTCCTTAACCTCCACGCAAAGTCTCTTCCCCTGCACCCACTTTTCCACGCTCGGCCCCGAGGCACGGAGAGAACTTTTCGGGGGTGTGGGGGCAGAGGGGGTGTCCGCATGGCACGGGGGCTGTCCGAGGGGCTCCCGGCCGTGCCGGGGGTGCCGCTGCTGGCTCCGGCCGCCGGGCGCGGACCGAGCCCCGCAGCCCGAGCCCCGCAGCCCGAGCCCCGCAGCCCCAACCGGGGCCGGTCCGAGCGCGGGGCCGGCGCTGCGGGAGCGGCGGGGCCGGGGCGCGGATCGCGGATCGCGGCGGTAACATGGCTGCTTTCCTACCGAATTACGAAACCGGCTGAGGGCGCGGGATTACCGGGGAGATCCGGCCAGGGGGACCCGAAGCGGGGATGGGAACAGAGGGGGTGGCGGCAGCGGCGGGAGGATGCGGGGGGCAGTGAGCATTTGGGGGGTGCGGGGGTCCCTCATCGTGCCGGGGCTGCTGGAGCCGAGCGAGGCGCCGGCAGCAGCCGCAGCGGGGAAGCGCCGCGCTCCGAACGCAGCAGGAACCCGCACCCACGGCCCGACGGGACCCCCAAAAACAAACAATGGACAATAACACCGAGCGGAGGCGGCGGGCGGGAGGGACCCCCAGGGCTGCCCCGCTCCCCCTCGCCCCCTGCCCGCGGCGGGACCCACCTTGCGCGCCGTGCGGGCCGTGCTCCATGGCCGGGTCGCTGCCCAGCTCGGCCAGGCGCCGGCCGGTGGCCGCCAGCTCGGCGCGCAGCGCCGTCACCTCCTGGCCCGCCGCCTGCAGCGCCCCGTCGATGCGCAGCGCCAGCTGCTTGTTGTCGTCCATCATGTGCAGGATTTTGGCCTGGGGGGAGGGAGGAAGAGGAGGAGAGAGAGAGAGAGAGAGGTGAGAGAGGGAGCGGCGGGGGGCGGGCAGGGGGCTGTGCTGGGCAGGGGGCAGGGGCTGGTGAAGGGGAGCAGCGAGAGGGGAGTGGGCGGTGCGAGGGGGCGGCGCCGGGGGAGGGGGCTGGGAGGGTGCGAGGGGGGCTCTGCCGGGGGGACAAAGGGGAGGGGGGCTCTGAGAGGGAGGCGGAAAGGGGATCTGTGCAAAGGGGGACAAAGGGAGGGGGGCAGCGCAAGGGAAGAGGGGTTCTGCAAGGGGGGGGGTCTGTGCAGAGGGGTTACAAGGGGAAACAGGTTGTGCGGGGGGTGGGGGTACCCCCTACCTGTTGTCCCCCCCGGCAGCCCGGGCAGGGCCGTGACGGAGGCGATCGCAGCTCGGCCGAGGGCATCCGCGGTGGGTGCGCGGTGGGTGCGCGGCTGCGGCGGGGCGGGTCCCTCCCGTTCGTGTCCCTCCCGAGCGGGTCCCTCCCGTGCGGGACGGGCGGACCCTGCGGGGGGACCCTGCGGTGCGAGAGTGAGACCCCCCCCACCCCCCCCCAGCAGCCCCCCGGGAAGTTCAGGGGTGCTGCGGGGATGCTGCAGTGCCCGCGGTGAGCTCACAATGCCACTGGTGAAGAAGCGTTCTGCTAACTGCGCTCAGGTTCGCCCTGAGCGTGGCCGTGCCAGCAGCTGCCTGCAGCAGGTGGAGGAAAACGGGCTCCAAAAATCGCCCTGGAAGGATTTTGGGGTGGGGGGGAAGAGCCACCTGAGCGCTGTCACCACTGCAGCAGTACTAGTGCAGGAGCTCTTCCACTGGCGGTTCCCGTGGCACGAACCCAGGGTGAAAAATCGAGAATTATTGGTATCATCCATTCGCTGGCGACTGCTAGAGGGAGCGCGGATGTTTCCCTGTGCCTTATCCATCCCTCAGAGGGATCCACTTGTGTCTTTGCCAGGGCTGCAGCAAGCCTGCAGAGCTGCCACCCTGCCCGTGGCAGCCGTGCAGATAGCTTCATCCTCACTGAAGTGAAATTATAAAATCACAGAGTGATTTGTGTTGGAAAGGACCTTAAAGATCGTCTCTTTCCAGCACCCTGCCATAGGCAGGAACACCTTCCACACACCAGGTTGCTCCAAGCCCCATAGACAGGGATGCTTTGGAGATCATGGCCCACGTGGCTGTACATCCCCACTCCATCCCTGCATCCTAAATCTGCAGGCAGCCCTGTTGTGAGTTGTCATGTGAGCCACCTGTACCTGGAAAAGTTCACAAATGGGTTTAGGAACTGGGCAGGAGCCCCCATGGCAGTGGGGTGGGAGCCTCACAGAAACAGGAGTGGTGTGGGAAGCACAGCGAGGAGCCAGGACAGTGAGCAGGGACCCTTGCTAAGGGAGAAGTCAGAGGGAATTGTGAGTAAAGGGGGAGAAACAGCCCAGCACAATTTGCTAAACCCTCTGATGTTTGCCTAAATTCAGGCTTTTGGTTGAACAAGCTGAGAATTTGGGGCAATTCTTTGAACTTCAGGGTGTCCTTGTGCAGCCCTGGCACTGCAGAGCCCTGATTAAAAATGCAGGAAAAAGGAGAGAAAAGGGCTCCCGATCCTGAGAGCTGCAGGGATGGACATGAGGCAAAGCAGGAGCACAACACCATCCCACACAGCCAGGGAGGAGCAGGGGGTTTGGTGTGCAGAGTCTCCAGGCAGCTTTTGGGGACAGAAATGGGGTAAATCTGCTGAATCAGTCTGCTGAGCAACAAGAGCAGCCCGGGATCCCCCAAAACCTCAGGTCTGATCTGGATCCTGGTTACAAGCAGCTCTCCAAGAGTCAAACGGACTGAGTCCTTGCCAAGTGGCATCTAGTCCTTACATCCATCTGGATCAATCCATCTGGATATTGTAAAACAGAGAAAATTTAGCATTTATTCCATGAAATGGTACAGTGGCTCTGCAAGGGACAGTTATTTCTGACAGAGTTTCCAGCAGTGTCTGCAGCCCAACCTGGGAGCTGGACCAGGGCACTGGGAATATCAGTGGAAAGGTCAGTTTTCCTTAATGAATTCCCAGAGAGCCAAAAAACAACCCACAAGGAGAATAAATGCAATTTTGGAAATTCTTTCCCCATCATCTCTACAGCCATCCCTGAATGAGATAAAGTTCTGTAAGTATATAAAGCAACTGAATTCTAACCAAGATAAATGCCCAGTTTCATACCTAATTTGCATGAGTATTTGCTGCAAACTGTGTTTGCAAATGGGAGAATTATGTATGTAACCAGATAACCTGAGTGTGCAATCCCAGTACCATATATGCAAAACTTACTCATTGCACTTGAATAAAAGTAAAGCTTCAGCAAAAAGGAACTTGGCTTTAAAGTACCGGCACATTTTTTTTTATCATAAAAAAAATCAGGTTAAAGCTGATTTGAACCTTCCAAGAACCCATTTAGCTGCTGAGGCAAATTCCAAATGATGTTTCTTACTCAATCTAACTTTAATAATAGACTGGTTCAGTTGCTGCACTGTCAGAACTGGAATTTTTAAAATTTACTGACAAAGAGAATTTCTACATTAGCACATGCTTATTTTAAAAAAATGTGTCCTAAAGTTGGCTGTGGCCTCGTGGGTAGGGTAAAAACCTCACTCTAAAAACTTTCCTTACTGCTTTCAAGCCTTCCTGAAATCCCCTGAAGGTATCTTGGAAGATTTTCCCCTTTCCCATGCCTGCTCCTATCCTTACTGGGGATCAGCTGGATCCATTAAAATTGATTTTGATCTCTCAGAGCAGAATTTGATTTCTCTGAGCTTCTGCCTGGAAGGAGCACAGGGTGTCACAGCAATCCAGCAATTTCAGCCAGAGGAAAAGGCACAAGGATGGGGCATTCCCAACCCAACTGGCTTGTGCCAGCTCCCAGTCAGAAGGCCAAACCTTTGCTGGAAACCTCAAAATTGGGATGAAATTAAAGTTTAGAAAATTAATTGTGCCTCCATTCCTCTCCTATTAGTTTTAAATTAAGAAAAAATGGAAATTAAAAGCTAATTAACGACCCAAAATTAGAAACATACTGCTTCCCACTAATATTTTGAAGATTTTTTTTAATTTTCTTTTTTTAATTCCAGCTTTTACCAGGAAGTTACCAAGAAGCTCTGCAAGGAATCTGTGTCCCAGAGGGATGGGAGTCCCTGGCCATGTAGATGAGGCATGAAGAGATTGGGAATATTTCCTAAGGACGCAAGGGAAACCTCAGTCAATGCCAGTAAGTCACAAATCTTCATTCAACCTTACTACACTCAGCATCTGTTCAGGTGCTGCAAGGGCAGCCTTGAAAATGTGGAAAACAGCCTCAGTTTTGGGCAATGTGTTCTGGTAGTGCCATCACATCCAGGCAGGCTATTCCTCAAGTGTGTGTAAATGGAAAAAACATGGATAGAGGAAGATTTGAGAGTTCCACCCTTCATCTTTGCTCTTGTTACAACCTAAGGAGTGTAGTAAAGGGAATATGAGAAGATTCAGAAGATGAAAAAGAGTTGAGAAGCACATGAGTACCATTCAGGCCTTCCAAACCCTTTAATTTGCTATTCAGATTACCACTTTTTATAGTTTAGTATGTACAGTATGCAAAGGAACCAGTTTAACTAAATGGAAAAACCCTTCTGTGTTAAGGTTGAATGTAATCTAATAGGGCCCTTTGACTTGATTCAATTAAATACTTCTTTTTCCAATTAAATAATAATCCAGAATTTAATAAAAATGAATTTCCATGTGTCATCCTGCAGAATGATGCCCTCTGTGATGGGGAAGGCTTATGTAAATTCTGCTGATCGCTTTTTATCTGCCTCTGCCTCACTTCCTCCAAAAAAAATTGCCTTCTGTCTGTATATTTACATTCATTTCTCATCTGCTCCATGTATCTGTGTTTGCAGGAACAATTCCCAGCTGAAAGAGCTGTATCACCAGCTTCTTTCAGTGCATCCTCAGAAATGGACCCTCTGTGATGGGAGCAAGATCTCCAAAGTGGGATTTTTGATCTGTGCCTCAGGTTTGTTGTGCCCTGGCATGCTGTAGGGCCAGATTCCAATTGGCCCCTTCCAAATATCACCAGGGGCATCTGTATGGCTGTTATCACCAAGAAAAACCAGCAACCTCAGCAGCAATCCCCAGGAAAAGCACGGCATGGCCCACATTCCACAGTCTCTTCCAGCACATCTCGACTAAAGCTACAGCAGTTGTTAATATCTACTGTTTTTTTCCCCCTTCAAAGGTGTATTTATAACTGCATTTTACCGTGGCAAGCACATTTTACCCCCCTCTCACTCATAAAATACAGAGTACCAACTCTTTGCTTCCTCAGCTGGGATATACAGCAGCATCTTTATGCAAACCTTGCTGATGTGGTACTGCTGTAAGAACCTGTAAGGTAGAAAGTTCTTACAGCAGTAAGAATAAAAATAAGTTACTAACTTACAAGTTATTCAAACTGAATTCAACAGAGTTAAGGCTGGACAGGTTAAAAATCTGAGTGAATATTCTGTTTCTCCCCATGATGCTGCCTTACCACATTTCCCCATCTCTCTCTCTGTGTGGGTAAAATGGTCTTGGCGACCTTCCTGTGCTGCACATCCCTCGAGAGCATGAAAACAAACCCATTAATGTTTATAAAGTGTCTCAGACTGGGGGAATTACATCACTGTGGTGAGATACAAGCTTAATGGATCAAAACAAACCCCAGCTCCAAACCCCCCAGCTTAGACACATCTCAGTTACCCGGCGCAAACCTCAAGGAATCCCACTGAGAAGGGATAATTGAGAGAAAAATGTGATCCCAGAGATTTTTCTGCAGTAAACCCATTTTATGTTAATAGAAAGCAGATTTCTAGACCCCTTTGCAAACGAATGACTTCCACAGCATATTTCACAGCTGAGCGCATCCATGGCACCAGCTTTGGACACGGGGCTATTAAACCCAACATTTGTTTAATGAATTACAGCAGGCCATGAATCTGTGTGTGCTCAGCCTGTGTTTAAATGTTTATTGGGAAGACTTCAGCAGCCAGCTCTGCTTGAGCAGGTATCAGCCTCAATGATGAGCTCTCGCTGCAACGCACCCAAAATTTTGAACATGTTTTTGGGTTCTGCTTTCTTATCCAAGACAGATTACCCAGGAGGTTCAGGGAGTCTGCTAAACATAAAACCTTTTGGGCTCAGTGCAAGTTTGGGGTGTTGTCTCCTTGATGACGAGTGAGATAAACTGTTGTGCATCTCCCACCTGCCTGGGGTTGGTCCCTGCAACTGAAGGGTGGATTAAGCCATTAAAACTCACACATTCAAGCAAAGCTGATGTGCTGTAGCCATTTCCAAGATGACCCCACTCTCACCTCACCAGTCAATCTATACATCTTGATAAAAAATTAACTCTGGTTCACCCTCTTATTTTAACACGTTCTCCACTGCAAACTGTGTGTGAAGTGCTCCCTTTCATGGCACATTGGGACAGTAGTGATGATGTGCTGTGATCACTTTGCTTTCCTGCAAAATACCTCTGATTTATGGTGGTCTCCACTCCAGAAATCCCCACCCAGGAGCGGTTTCAGAGTCACTGAATGCTTTGGGATGGAAGAGACCCTAAGGACCATCTTGTTCCACCCCCTGCCATGGGCAGGGACACCTTCCACTCTCCTAGGTTGTTCCAAACCCTCTCCAACCTGGCCCTGGACACTTCCAGGGTTGGGGCAGCCACAGCTCCTCTGTGCCAGGGCTGCCCACCCTCACCTAAGCCAAGAATTTCTTCCTCACATCCAGTCTAACCCTGCCCTCTGTCAGTGGGAAGCCATTCCCCCTTGTCCTGTCATTTCAGGTGAAGTCTGTACGAAATGCCATTTCCCCATCACAAATTAGGGAGTTTGGTTGGGCTTTTTCAGAACTGCCAGGGTGATTTGGGAGATCAGGTCCTGGTGATCCCCCAAGACTTCCCTGTCCTCTTGGGAAGGTGACAATGGGGACTCTGTGGAGACATTTGCAGCCCAAATTTACCTCCTGCTCTGCTGGGACCAGGATCATGTGAAAACGTCAAGGAATAAGGGAGAATGCAAAGCACTCAGATAGCAGGCTAATATGTGCCATGAAAAATAAAAAAATCCTGTGATCAATCAGCAGAAAAAGATATACTTACATTAGGTGTTAGTGGGAGAGATGCAGGAAAGGTGATTATGGGTTTGTCTCCGTGTTTCCCTCAGCAACAATGATGACACGCCGGGGTGGGTCACCCTACCCTGTCATTAATGGAGCATCAGCATTCATCTGACAGCTCCTTTGTCCTGGGAAGTCAATTCCGATGAAGATTTGACATTAGCAGAGGCACGGTGAGACTCAGGCGCCTTTGCATTTTCACAACCCTCCAAATGCTTTAGCCTGATGGATTACGGGTAAAATCACTGTCCTAATTTGAGCAGGAGGCAGAACAAATATTTGTACACATCTGTTTCAACTGTGGCAATAAACACCACGGGCAGAACCGGTGGAAGAGCAGCACTTTGCTCCCTTCCCAGAAAACAAACCTGGGAACGGGGGCCACAGGGCAGAGCACATGGGAAGGGTCAGGTGAAGCATCAGAGAAATGTGATTTTTTTTTTTTTTAATTACAATATTTGTCAAATAACTGAAAGACAAGATCTAAAATAATCCAAAAATAATTCAGAAATGGAGAACTCCAGATTGTAACAGAGAGGGGTTTTAACATGCACAGCACACTGTCC